AGACTATTTATACGATTGCGATGGAAAAGCTGAAAAACTTACAAATCTTCGGCAGAATCCCAGATCAAGTAGATACACAACTCGCTCTGAGGACCAAGCAAAGTTGCTGGCTTTTATGTCTCTATGTATAATTCCAGTGCGATGTAGGTCATGTATAGCCTGAAACTGATTCTCAACTATAGTTCAGTCGCAGGCGAAGGCAGCTGTTTAGAAACGCAACGCTGGCGGACGTCGACCTCGAGTTTCTGCGCTCAACGCATTCAAATATGAAAGTCGCTCAACGTCCGCGTCCACGTCCACTACGCAAGTATCGCTTGTTCTTCTCTTCGGGGCTGGACCTCACCTCTAGGCACTGTCGCGACAATCTGACGGCCGTAGCTCGCGTGAACCGGGATTCAGGAGTCATACGTCGAAGTCTAAACTGACCTATCCGTAGGTGAAGTCTGGTAATTAGTATCGCTACTTACCTCGACAACGGCCTCTCGACGAGGCTCATAATCATTACATTGACAATCTCTTTTCCACATCTTAGTCTACATGCTAAATATAATCGACAAAAGTGTTTTGACCACTGCATAACTCGCAATTGCATAACCTAAACACCAGCTTCATCGTCAGATCAAAAGATGCATGGGGTACAGAGCCGCAGAGCAGAGCCGAAAGAGAGCAGAGCCGAAAGCTGTGGCTACAAACTAACCGGCTCTAAGTGAGGTGAAGCTAAAATGATGTGCTTGGAAGCAGCACGTATCGCCGCAAAGAAATTCCACTATTGCTTAAGCCATTTTGTTGTGCGGTCTGTCATAAAGCGAGATGATCTTCGTCATAGACTGAAGAATCATCAGACTCTCCATTTGGGATCTGCTCGAGGTTCTTGTACGGTTTCAAGACCGCCGCATGCTGAATTCTTGCTCGCCTCATTCCTTAAAGTTTCACTTCGTTCGCCAGTCTGGTCCACAAACTCAGTCTTGAGAGCGCCTCGCACACCATCTTTCTCAACTTCATATACAGCTCCAAAGCCTCCAGAACCGATTTTTCTTGTTACCTGAAGCTAAAGGCTTGATGATGCAATGACACAGAGCGTGAGACAGCAGGACCTTCCAGTCGCAAATTATGGCATCTCGTGTTATTTCGGGTTTCGGTACCGACGATGAACTGGACATCTCACTGCTTGCTGACCGGTGAGCGACGGAACAGTAACCTTACTCGTTTGAGCACTCGAATAAAAATGGACTCTTCCATCACCGAAGTTATTGCGAGACATTATCATCGCTGATCTTACTTGTAAACAGAAACAGTGTGAATCATTTTGAAGCATATCCTAGAGTTCGATTTCGAAGGGAATTGAAGACGCAATGAGCTGTGCTCTGAAAGCATGTGTAGGTATCTACTCATCCGGCCAGCAGCTTTCAATTAGCTGCTGTGGCCTGAAGAAATGCCAAGAAGGTAACCACGAAAAGCGGCGGAAAGGCTCGGGCAAGAAAGCCGCAAAACTCGAGCAAAGGTGCGACACTCATAGTGGGTAGCCTTATACGCTTACCCTTTGT